TCCTCCGCCTCCTCCCCCTCCTCCACGCCCTTCGCCGCTTGGGTTTTGTTGCGGCAGCTGCAACCACCCCAGGTGCAACTGAGACTGCCCCAGAGGCGCAGGGGGGACGGGGGGCGGGCGGGGCAACTGAGATGGGCGGGCGGAGCAACTGGGCCAACAACTGGCTCAGTTGCTCCGCCGCTCCTCCGCTTGGTGTCAGTTGCTCCGCCGCTTGGTTTCAGTTGCTCCGCGGCCTCGGTCCAGTTGCTCCGCCGAGGTAAGCCCTCCCCCCTTCCTCCGTCCCGCCCTCCCCCCCCACCTCGAGGTGGAGGGGGGGGGGGGCGGGAGGGAGGGAGCGAGGAGCCGACCGGAGGGATGGAGGTGACCCCCCTCCTTCCGATCGACCCCTCGCCCCCTCCCTCCCTCCCTCCCCTTGCCCCCTCCCTCCCCCCCCCTGCATGGGGCGAGCTCCGCGTCGCTCGCGGGGGCAGCGGCAGCGAGGGTGCGGCCGGGATCGCAGGCCGCCCTCTGCCGCTCGGGCCTGGTGCTCGGACGGAGGCGCGGATGGCCAGGAGGGAAAGGCGGGAGGGGGAGGGGGAGGGGGAGGGGGAGAAAGAGGAGGAGAAAGAGGAGGAGAGGGAGGAGGAGGAGGAGGAGGAGAAAGAGGAGGAGAGGGAGGAGGAGAGGGAGGAGGAGGAGGAGGAGGAGCAGGAGGAGGAGGAGGAGAAAGATGAGGGGAGGAGGGAGGAGGAGCGGGGGAGAAGAGGGAGGATGAGGGCATGAGCAGGAGCAGGGAGGAGGAGGAGGAGCAGAAGCAGAGAAGCTGATGATTATGCTTCTGCTGATGTGGTGCTGACCGATGATGTGATGATGATGCGCTGCTGCTGCTGCTGCTGCTACTGCTGCTGCTGCTGCTGCTGCGGCTGCTGCTGCTGATGATGATGATGATGATGATGATGAATGCTATTTGATGATGAGGTTGATGCTGATGATGATGCTGATGCTGATGCTGATGCTGATGGCTGATGCTGATGCTGGTGCTGATGCGATTGCGATGCTGATGAGATGATGAGGAGGAGGAGGAGGCGGAGGAGGAAGGTGGAGGGGAGTGGAGGAGAAGCAGCAGGAATGATGAGATGGGGAGGAGGAAGAGAGGAGGAGGAGGAGGAGGAGGAGGAGGAGCAGGGGGAGGGGGCGGAGGAAGCCTCTGGAGCTCAGGTGTCTGCCCGAGGTGGGGCTATTTGCTTGCCCTTGCGGGCCGCGGCCTCCCCCCCCCCCCCTGCCCGCCCGCGCAGCAACGGTCTCGGCCGCCAGGCTCCCGTGGGCCCTCGTGAACTGGCTTGTGGCCGGCAGGGCCTCGTCAAGCTGTGCACCCGCGCGGGCACACTCGGCGTGCTTGCGTGCCTGCTCCCGGCCTGGGCGCCGACTGTGCGGCACGGACTCCTCGTCGGCCTGCGCCAGTCGACGCGCACGGACATCGGCAGCGCCAGCGTCGTGGATCACGGGCACGAGAACTCCAAAGGCCAGCCTCGCATCCAATTCGTCGTCGAACTCACTTCCGGTACGTCGTCGTCGTCGTCGGCGTCGTCGTCGTCGTCGGGGGGGCCCGACGCGCGCGCGGACCTCCCCCTCGGGAGGTCCTCGCCGGCGCTGGCATGGCCCTCCTGGCCTACCTGACGTCGACCTGCGCGCAGCCCTCCTGGCCTACCTGAACTCCAGAGGCCAGCCTCACCTCCAACTCGTCGTCGGGCTCCCTTCCCGCTACGTCTCGGGGGCGCTCCGGCTGCGCCGCTGGCCGCGAGGCCGTGGGAGTCGGAGCGCCTTCTCGCCCGAAGGCCGAGGCGGCGGCCGAGACGGGGGAGGGCACCTGCAGCCAGCCGCCAGGCGAGGGCAGTGAGGGCCGGTTCTTCGTGCTCGGCGGCGGCGGAGAGCGAGCAGCGCGCCGCGGACGGGAAAGCTGTCGTGAAGGAGAGGCTCCAGCGGTACGCTGCGGTCGTAGAAGCCCTGCAGCCGGAGGAGAAGCGCGCGTTCGCTCCAGGCATGGCCGCCCGCTGTCTCGGCCTGGAGGCCAGGCCATTGCAGAATGGACGCGAAGGCACCCTTAGCTTCTACGACAAGGCTGTTGACCGCTGGGCCTTCAAAGCAGGCGCGGAGGCCATTCGTGTCAAGGCGACACGTCTTGAACCGATTTGGCCCCACACCAAAAAAGCCCACACAACACCCCTTGGCAGGTTCAAAATATGGTAGTTTAATTGGTTTGCCTCTTGGAGCTCTGTTGGGAGGCTCCTCGAGGCCTCTTGGGCGTCTTGGCGGCCTCCTGGCCGTCTGGGGCCGTCTGAGCGATTTTTCGGTGGAGGAAAACCGCCAGGTGGTCTGGGTACGTTGCAGCCGCCAAAGAATGATCATGCCCGCGACAATCCAAAATGGAAGGAACGGCGCTGAACTTAAAACTATCGTCAACCTCTACTCGGCGCGGGCCTTTCCGCCGGGAAAGCCGGGGAAGAGCTGGAAGGGGTGTGGGGCCCTAGGTGCCTGCGTGGATCACCGCGGATCACCTGACCTGGGGCCCGCCCATGGTGGTGTCAATGCGCTTGTCCATGAGGTCCCAGTTCACCTTCTCGAACATGGTGTCCACCTCAGAGCGCTTGGCAACCAACAGTGGGCGCTTGCCGTACGGCACGGAGGTGTACAGCTGCACCGCCAGGCCACCAGGGCTCATGTCCGCGGCCAGCCAGACCCAGCCCTTTCCGTCGTCCATCACCTTCTGGGTCTCGTCGCTCCCAGGGCCGCCCTTGACGACGTGCTTGCCCAGCTTCATCTGCTCCTTGAGGCCCGCAATGCCGACTGCAATGTCCCTCTTGCCGATCCCCCCGGGGGGCGGGCCCTTCCACTGGCCGCTGTAGCGGGTTAACGTGCCCGTTTTCGTCCCACGTCCCGTGGAGTGCTGTGACAATGAAGCTTCCCCGATCGTACCTTCGTGGGTCCCCCGCCAGACCGAAAAACGACCTCCTGATTTGGAAACGCCTGATTCGGCGTCGTCGTCGCTGACGTCGTACTCGTCGCCGCCGCGCGCGGCCAGGGCCACCTGCCCCCGCGGGCTGGCCACCGAGGCGGCCGGGCGTGCGGAAGGCGCGGGCGCCACGAAGGCGCTCGGCAAGACGTAGAGGCCGAGCGCAATGGCCAGGGAGGCGGGCAGCGCAGTGCCGCGCAAGGGAGCCATGGCGCTGGGGCAGTCGGAATGGCGGCGTCGAGCTGGACCGAGATGTCCTTGAGCCAAAATGGCTACGGAAAGCCCTCTAGAGCGTCTTGGACCGACCACTCGGTGACTCGGGGCCCTCTTGGACCGTCCGAAATTCATCTTGGAGCCCTTTGGGCCAGTCTTGGGGCCGTCTTGGGGCACTCTGGGGCCCTCTTGGGGCGCTCGCGACCCAGCCTCCCCGCCAGGCCAAACATCAAGACAGATCCGATTTCTATATTGGTGCTCAGCGCAATAGTACGACTATACGTGTGTGGTGTGTGTGGTGTGTGCGTGTGTGTTGTGTGTTGTGTGTTTGTGTGTTGTGTGCGTGTTGTGTGTGTATTGTGTTATGTGTGTGTGTGTGTGTGTGTTGTGTGTTATGCGTGCGTGTGCGCGTGTGCGTGTGCGTGTGCGTGTGCGTGTGCGTGAGCGTGTGCGCGCGTGCGCGTGTGCGTGTGCGTGTGCGTGTGCGTGTACGTGTGCGTGTGCTTGTGCATGTGCATGTGTGCGTGTGTGTGTGTGCGTGTGTGTGTGTGTGTGCGTGTGCGTGTGCGTGTACGTGTGCGTGTGCGTGTGCGTGTGCGTGTGTGCGTGTGCGTGTGTGCGTGTGGGTGCGGGTGCGGGTGCGTTTGTGTGTATCCTGTGTGTGTGTTCGTGTGTGTGTGTGTCTGTCTGTCTGTCTGTCTGTCTGTCTGTCTGTCTGTCTGTCTGTCTGTCTGTCTGTGTCTGTCTGTCTGTCTGTCTGTCTGTCTGTCTGTTTGTCTGTCTGTGTGCGTGTGTTCATGGGTGCATGGGTGCTTGTGTGCGTGTGTGCGTGCGTGCGTGTGCGAGTGTGCGTGCGTGCGTGTGTGCGTGTGCGAATGTGTGAGTGTGTGTGTGTGCGTTTGCGTGTGTGCGTGTGTGTATTTGTCTGTGTGTGTGAGTGTGTGTGTGTGTATGTCTGCGTGTGCGTGTGTGCGTGTGTGCGTGTGCGTATGCGTGGGAGCGGGTGCGCGTGCGCGTGCGTGCGCGTGCGCGTGCGCGTGCGCGTGCGCGTGCGCGTGCGCGTGCGCGTGAGTGCGTGCGTGCGTGCGTGCGTGCGTGCGTGCGTCGTGCGTGCGAGTGCGTGCGCGCGGCGTGCGCGTGCGAACGTGCGCGGGCGCGGTGCGCGCGCGCGCGAGGGCAGTGGGGGCCGTTCGTAGCCGGCGGCGGCGGAGAAGCGAGCAGCGCGCCGCGGACGGGAAAGCTGTCGTGAAGGAGAGGCCAGCGGTCGCTGCGGTCGTAGAAGCCCTGCAGCCGGAGGAGAAGCGCGCGTTCGCTCCCAGGCTATGGCCGCACGCCTGTCTCGGCCTGGAGGCCAGGCCAGTGCAGAATGGAGCGCGAAGTGCACCCTTAGCTTCTCGACAAGGCTGTTTTGACCGCTGGGCCATTCCAAAGCAGGCGCGGAGGCCATTTCGTGTCATGGCGACATGGCGTCTTGACCGATTTGCCCACACCAAAAAGCCCACACCACACGATTGGCCAGGGTTCAAATATGGTAGTTTGATGTTTGCCTCTCTTGGAGCTCTGTTTGGAGGGCTCACGGAGCCTCTTGGGGCGTCTTGGAGGCCTCCTGGGCCGTCTGGAGGCCGTCTGGAGCGATTTTCGGTGGAGGAAAACCGCCGCGGTCTGGGTACGTTGCAGCCGCCAAAGAATGATCATGCCCGCGACAATCCAAAAGGAACGGCGCTGAACTTAAAACTATCGTCAAACCTCTACGCGGCGCGGGCCTTCCGCCGGGGAAGCCGGGCAAGAGCTGGACGGGTGTGGGCGCCCCTAGGTGGCTGCGTGGGATCACCGCTGAATCACCTGGGGCCCGCCCATGGTGGTGTCGATGCGCTTGTCCATGATGCCCCAGTTCACCTTCTCGAACATCGTGTCCACCTCGGAGCGCTTGGCGACCAGCAGCGGGCGCTTGCCGTACGGCACGGAGGTGTACAGCTGCACCGCCAGGCCACCAGGGCTCATGTCTGCGGCCAGCCAGACCCAGCCCTTTCCGTCGTCCATCACCTTCTGCGTCTCGTCCTTCCCGGGGCCGCCCTTGACGACGTGCTTGCCCAGCTTCATCTGCTCCTTGAGGCCCGCAATGCCGACGGCGATGTCCTTTTTGCCGATGCCCCCAGGGGGCGGGCCCTTCCACTGGCCGCTGTAGCGGGTGAACGTGCCCTTGTCGTCCCACGTCCCGTGGAAGTGCTTGACAATGAGCTCCGCCGTAATCGTACCCTTCGGGGGGTCGCCGCCAGACCCAGAGATCGTCTCCTCGTAGAACGCCTGGATGTCGGCGTCGCTGACGTCGTACTCGTCGCCGCCGCGCGCGGCCAGGGCCACCTGCCCCCGCGGGCTGGCCACCGAGGCGGCCGGGCGTGCGGAAGGCGCGGGCGCCACGAAGGCGCTCGGCAAGACGTAGAGGCCGAGCGCAATGGCCAGGGAGGCGGGCAGCGCAGTGCCGCGCAAGGGAGCCATGGCGCTGGGGCAGTCGGAATGGCGGCGTCGAGCTGGACCGAGATGTCCTTGAGCCAAAATGGCTACGGAAAGCCCTCTAGAGCGTCTTGGACCGACCACTCGGTGACTCGGGGCCCTCTTGGACCGTCCGAAATTCATCTTGGAGCCCTTTGGGCCAGTCTTGGGGCCGTCTTGGGGCACTCTGGGGCCCTCTTGGGGCGCTCGCGACCCAGCCTCCCCGCCAGGCCAAACATCAAGACAGATCCGATTTCTATATTGGTGCTCAGCGCAATAGTACGACTATACGTGTGTGGTGTGTGTGGTGTGTGCGTGTGTGTTGTGTGTTGTGTGTTTGTGTGTTGTGTGCGTGTTGTGTGTGTATTGTGTTATGTGTGTTGTGTGTTATGCGTGCGTGTGCGCGTGTGCGTGTGCGTGTGCGTGTGCGTGTGCGTGAGCGTGTGCGCGCGTGCGCGTGTGCGTGTGCGTGTGCGTGTGCGTGTACGTGTGCGTGTGCTTGTGCATGTGCATGTGTGCGTGTGCGTGTGCGTGTGTGTGTGTGTGCGTGTGCGTGTACGTGTGCGTGTGCGTGTGCGTGTGCGTGTGTGCGTGTGGGTGCGGGTGCGGGTGCGTTTGTGTGTGTATCCTGTGGGGTGCAGTGTTCGTGTGTGGTGTGTCTTCTGTCTGTCTGTTCGTCGTCCTGACTGTCTGTCTGTCCCGTTTTATCTGTCTGTGTCTAGGTGTCTGGTCTGTCTGTCTGTCTGTCTGTATGTCTGTCTGTGTGCGGTGTTTATGGTGAGCATGGTGCTTGTGTGCGGTGTGACGTGCGTGCGTGTGGCAGTGTGCGGGCGTGCCGTGTGAGCGTGTGCGAATGTGTGAGTGTGTGTGTGTGTGTGCGTTTGCGTTGTGTGCGTGTGTGTTATTTGTCTGTGTGTGTGAGTGTGTGTGTGGGTGAGTCTGCGTGGTGCGTGTGTGTGTGTGCGTGTGCGTATGCGTGGGAGCGGGTGCGCGTGCGCGTGCGTGCGCGTGCGCGTGCGCGTGCGCGTGCGCGTGCGCGTGCGCGTGCGCGTGAGTGCGTGCGTGCGTGCGTGCGTGCGTGCGTGCGTGCGTGCGTGCGCGCGCGCGTGCGCGTGCGCGTGCGCGTGCGCGTGCGCGCGCGCGCGAGGGCAGTGGGGGCCGGTTCGTGCTCGGCGGCGGCGGAGAGCGAGCAGCGCGCCGCGGACGGGAAAGCTGTCGTGAAGGAGAGGCTCCAGCGGTACGCTGCGGTCGTAGAAGCCCTGCAGCCGGAGGAGAAGCGCGCGTTCGCTCCAGGCATGGCCGCCCGCTGTCTCGGCCTGGAGGCCAGGCCATTGCAGAATGGACGCGAAGGCACCCTTAGCTTCTACGACAAGGCTGTTGACCGCTGGGCCTTCAAAGCAGGCGCGGAGGCCATTCGTGTCAAGGCGACACGTCTTGAACCGATTTGGCCCCACACCAAAAAAGCCCACACCACACCGATTGGCCAGGTTCAAATATGGTAGTTTAATGTTTGCCTCTTGGAGCTCTGTTGGGAGGGCTCTCGGAGGCCTCTTGGGGCGTCTTGGAGGCCTCCTGGGCCGTCTGGAGGCCGTCTGGAGCGATTTTCGGTGGAGGAAAACCGCCGCGGTCTGGGTACGTTGCAGCCGCCAAAGAATGATCATGCCCGCGACAATCCAAAAAGAAAGGCGCTGAACTTAAAACTATCGTCAAGCCTCTACGCGGCGCGGGCCTTCCGCCGGGGAAGCCGGGCAAGAGCTGGACGGGTGTGGGCGCCCCTAGGTGGCCGCGTGGGATCACCGCTGAATCACCTGGGGCCCGCCCATGGTGGTGTCGATGCGCTTGTCCATGATGCCCCAGTTCACCTTCTCGAACATCGTGTCCACCTCGGAGCGCTTGGCGACCAGCAGCGGGCGCTTGCCGTACGGCACGGAGGTGTACAGCTGCACCGCCAGGCCACCAGGGCTCATGTCTGCGGCCAGCCAGACCCAGCCCTTTCCGTCGTCCATCACCTTCTGCGTCTCGTCCTTCCCGGGGCCGCCCTTGACGACGTGCTTGCCCAGCTTCATCTGCTCCTTGAGGCCCGCAATGCCGACGGCGATGTCCTTTTTGCCGATGCCCCCAGGGGGCGGGCCCTTCCACTGGCCGCTGTAGCGGGTGAACGTGCCCTTGTCGTCCCACGTCCCGTGGAAGTGCTTGACAATGAGCTCCGCCGTAATCGTACCCTTCGGGGGGTCGCCGCCAGACCCAGAGATCGTCTCCTCGTAGAACGCCTGGATGTCGGCGTCGCTGACGTCGTACTCGTCGCCGCCGCGCGCGGCCAGGGCCACCTGCCCCCGCGGGCTGGCCACCGAGGCGGCCGGGCGTGCGGAAGGCGCGGGCGCCACGAAGGCGCTCGCCAAGACGTAGAGGCCGAGCGCAATGGCCAGGGAGGCGGGCAGCGCAGTGCCGCGCAAGGGAGCCATGGCGCTGGGGCAGTCGGAATGGCGGCGTCGAGCTGGACCGAGATGTCCTTGAGCCAAAATGGCTACGGAAAGCCCTCTAGAGCGTCTTGGACCGACCACTCGGTGACTCGGGGCCCTCTTGGACCGTCCGAAATTCATCTTGGAGCCCTTTGGGCCAGTCTTGGGGCCGTCTTGGGGCACTCTGGTGCCCTCTTGGGGCGCTCGCGACCCAGCCTCCCCGCCAGGCCAAACATCAAGACAGATCCGTTTTCTATATTGGTGCTCAGCGCAATAGTACGACTGTACGTGTGTGGTGTGTGTGTGTGTGGTGTGTGCGTGTGTGTGTTGTGTGTTGTGTGTTTGTGTGTTGTGTGCGTGTTGTGTGTATTGTGTTATGTGTGTGTGTGTGTTTTGTGTGTTATGTGTGCGTGTGTGCGTGTGCGTGTGCGTGTGCGTGTGCGTGTGCGTGAGCGTGTGCGCGCGTGCGCGTGTGCGCGTGTGCGCGTGTGCGTGTGCGTGTACGTGTGCGTGTGCTTGTGCATGTGCATGTGTGCGTGTGCGTGTGCGTGTGTGTGTGTGTGTGCGTGTGCGTGTGCGTGTACGTGTGCGTGTGCGTGTGCGTGTGCGTGTGTGCGTGTGGGTGCGGGTGCGGGTGCGTTTGTGTGTGTATCCTGTGTGTGTGTTCGTGTGTGTGTGTCTGTCTGTCTGTCTGTCTGTCTGTCTGTCTGTCTGTCTGTCTGTCTGTCTGTCTGTCGTCTGTCTGTCTGTCTGTCTGTCTGTCTGTCTGTCTGTCTGTCTGTCTGTCTGTCTGTCTGTGTGCGTGCGTGTGTTCATGGGTGGCATGGGTGCTTGTTGTGCGGTGTGGGGGGGGGGGCGGTGCGTGCGTGTGCGAGTGGTGCTTGCCGTGCGTGTGTTGCGTTGTGCGAATGTTGAGTGTGTTTGTGTGCTTTGCGTGTGTGCGTGTGTGTTATTGTATGTGTGTGGTGATGTGTTTTGTGTTAAGTGTGCGTTGTGCTTGTGTGCGTGTGTGCGTGTGGCGTATAAGCGTGGGAGAGGGTGGCCGTGGCGCGTGCGTGCGCGTGCGCGTGCGTGCGCGTGCGCGTGCGCGTGCGCGTGCGCGTGCGCGTGCGCGTGCGCGTGAGTGCGTGCGTGCGTGCGTGCGTGCGTGCGTGCGTGCGTGCGTGCGCGCGCGCGTGCGCGTGCGCGTGCGCGTGCGCGTGCGCGTGCGCGCGCGCGCGAGGGCAGTGGGGGCCGGTTCGTGCTCGGCGGCGGCGGAGAGCGAGCAGCGCGCCGCGGACGGGAAAGCTGTCGTGAAGGAGAGGCTCCAGCGGTACGCTGCGGTCGTAGAAGCCCTGCAGCCGGAGGAGAAGCGCGCGTTCGCTCCAGGCATGGCCGCCCGCTGTCTCGGCCTGGAGGCCAGGCCATTGCAGAATGGACGCGAAGGCACCCTTAGCTTCTACGACAAGGCTGTTGACCGCTGGGCCTTCAAAGCAGGCGCGGAGGCCATTCGTGTCAAGGCGACACGTCTTGAACCGATTTGGCCCCACACCAAAAAAGCCCACACCACACCGATTGGCCAGGTTCAAATATGGTAGTTTGATGTTTGCCTCTTGGAGCTCTGTTGGGAGGGCTCTCGGAGGCCTCTTGGGGCGTCTTGGAGGCCTCCTGGGCCGTCTGGAGGCCGTCTGGAGCGATTTTCGGTGGAGGAAAACCGCCGCGGTCTGGGTACGTTGCAGCCGCCAAAGAATGATCATGCCCGCGACAATCCAAAAGGAACGGCGCTGAACTTAAAACTATCGTCAAGCCTCTACGCGGCGCGGGCCTTCCGCCGGGGAAGCCGGGCAAGAGCTGGACGGGTGTGGGCGCCCCTAGGTGGCCGCGTGGGATCACCGCTGAATCACCTGGGGCCCGCCCATGGTGGTGTCGATGCGCTTGTCCATGATGCCCCAGTTCACCTTCTCGAACATCGTGTCCACCTCAGAGCGCTTGGCGGACCAGGCTGCGGGCGCTTTTTTGCCGTACGGCACGGAGGTGTACAG